TTTTGTCTTGAAGTCCTCATTTGTTTTCCTTTTTAGGGGAAATGTTTTTCATCGACGGCATCGATGATGTCATTGTCTGTCTGTACCATTAGCTTATAAGAACACGGATTTCCTTCAGACATAGCACGTGGCCTATGAGTATCGCTCAGCCTGTGTATAACCTAGGCTCTTGCTGTAACATCCTCGTGGGGTGCCAACATTTTTACACTGGGTGGCAGTTAGGACTCTAGAATGTGATGGAACCAGAGAGAGAACTGAGGACATAAGCCTTCTGTCTATCTCCTCCAATTTCAGTGCCTTCATCCCCGTGATTCCAAAGGTAGTAGATGAGCAGGCCAGTTCTCTGACCTCTTATTTTTATCTTCATTCTTGCTAACGACGGCGATAGTGACTCAGTAGCTGTCACTTTAGATGCAGTGACAAGAGCTAGCCAAAAACCTATGAAAGGAAAAAGGAACAGCCCGGTGTGTGAGGCCTCATCCCAGGCACGCAGGTGTTCCCGGTAGGAGCGTGTGACTGAAAACACGTGATGTCCAGAGACCAGGGTGGCCCTGGTACCTCGTACCCCTGCTGGGTGGGTGTCATGGAGCGGGCATGATAATGGCAGGTGATGTCCGAGTGCTCTACACTTTGTATATGTCACGTGACCTCACAGTAGCCCTAGGGGGCAGGTACTACGATGACTTTTACGTTTTCCTGAAGAGGCCCCTGAAGTTAGGAGATGACGTAACGTGCTCCTGGTCACACAGCTGGTAAAGGGTGGGGCAGGGATCTGAACCAGCTCTGTGTGCATCTGGACACGGTTCTCCCCCACTGTACGTGGACCTCAGCAGAAAGCTGCGTTCCGTTGCTGGTGACGGATGAGGAGACCGTCGCCTCACTTCCCATTTTCAGGTTGCGCTTGTGAGACCTCAGACTGGAGGAAGTCTGTCTGGCCGGCAGAGGTGGGGAGGCCATGCCCCTCCTAGGGAGCACTGATAAAAAAGGTGGCCAGGATAAGACTGGGAAGTGATTGATGCTAAGATTGATTCTGGGATAGCACCCGCCTTCCACTGCCTCTCCACCTTTCTCTTTGTCATCAGTGTACCTTGTATATTTATTTGCATAGTTGTTTTGACATCTGTAGACTGGAAACTCCAGGAGGGCAGGAGTTGGACCCATTTTGTCTGCTAGTATACATGCAGGGTCTAGGACTCCTGGCACACGGTAGGTTCTCTATGCATATTTCTTGAACGTATGAATGAAAAGAAATGGAAAACATTGGAAAGAAATGATTGAGAAATGAATGAACCGTGAAGGTTGGAAAAAAAAATTTTTTTAAGTAGGCTTTATCCCCAGTGCAGAGCCCAACACGGGGCTTGAATTCACGACCTGAGATCAAGACCCTGATCAGGGTCAGGACCTGAGCTGAGATCAAGAGTTAGCTGCTTACCCAACTGAGCCACCCAGGGACCCCTCAGAGGATTTTTGGTCTGTCTGCCTTGTCTCACGGTGGTGGAAACGGAGTCTCAGAGAGGGTGATTACTGCTAACTGACTCCACGTCGGTCTTCACGATTATCCCCTCAAGAGGCACTTAGCAAGTGTCCGCCCTGTACCAGGCACCCGTCTGGGGGCAGCCCCGGGGGGCTGTGTTTTACCACTCAGTTCTGACGGCCACCCAAACACCGGTGTAAAATGTCTATCTTTAATGACATCTCAAGGGCCGTATGGGAAACGCTGACAGAATGGTCCCTCTCCAGGTGAGGCATCGTGGCTGGGCCACTCACTGCCTGGCATTCACACCTTTCTGGGCACAGCCCTGCCAGGGATAGAGTAAGGAACATTGACAGACAGGGACTGCTTTCATGGAACGTTGATGGAAACGGATCAGAGATACATATCCGAATGAAAAGCCTGCTGAATGGTACGTTAAGGGCTGCAAGTTCATCAGGCTGCAAGTTCAAAGGGCATACCGCCTTTCTAATGAGATGAAATTTCAACCAAGGCCCATCATGGGATAGGAGGGAGGCAGCCCTGCAGAGATCCGGGGAAGGAACGTTACAGGGAGAACCCGGGGCAAACGTCTGAGGTCGAGGCGAGCCTGGCGTGTTGGAGGGACAGCGGGAAGGGCGGCAGGGAGGGCGTGGAATGACCGAGGAGGAAGAGTGGTAACATGAGGCAGGAGAGGCAGTTAGAGGCCTGATTATGTGGAGTCTTGAAGTCCAGAGCAAGATGCTCAGGCTTTATTAGCGAGTGATGGGAAGCCCGCTGGGAGGTTCTCAGGAGAGGAAAGGCCCAGTCTGACGTGTTTATAACATCGCGGTGTGTGGAGGACAGGTGTGAGTGCAGCAAGAATGGAAGCAGAGAGAGCAGTGTGGAGGCCGTGGCAGTGGTCCGGGAGGGAGGTGGTGTGGCGGGGACCGGGGTAGTGACCGTCAAGATGGAGAGAGGAGACAGATTGCAGGTTTATTTCGGAGACGGAGTCCACAGGACTGGCTAGCGGGTTAACGTGAGGGGCGAAGGAGTGGAGTCAAGGATAAAGCCTGGACTTTTGGCCCCAGCACATGCTCCCTTCTCTCTGAAGGGAGAATAGGGGATAGCTTATATGTGGGAAAAAAATATCAAGGGTGTTGTTTTGGACCTGTTACTTTGGAGACATGAGGAGACATTGGACGTGAAGCTTGAAGGATGAAGGAGATCTCAACAGGATGGGAAGGAAGAAAGGACATTTTGGAAGGAACAGCACCGGCAGAGGAAGGACGCAGCGGTGGAGGAGGGAGAGATACATCTTCAATCCGTTGTGGCCGGAGCACGTCTGAGAGAAGGGTGGGGACACATGATCTGATGACGAAAACCATAGAATGCGTTCTTTTTGCACATGGATCCTTATTAGAACCCAAACATTCATATTTATTTATTTATTTTAATTTTTAAAAAATGTTTTATATATTTTTGAAAGAGAGAGAGAGAGAGATGAGCAGGGGAGGAGCAGAGAGAGAGGGAGACACAGAATCTGAAACAGGCTCCAGGCTCCAAGCCATCAGCACAGATCCCGACGGGGGGCTCGAACTCACGGACTGTGAGATCATGACCTGAGCTGAAGTCAGACACTTAACTGACTGAGCCCCCCAGGCGCCCCCCGAACATCCGTATTAAAGAATAAGTAGGAAGAAATTGGTCCATTATACGTGATAATGTCAGGTGTTTTCTGCCATCGATGTGCCAGAAATCCACCCTCGTCAGACTTCTTCTCACAAACAGAATGGTAGTCACCAAACAGTAAAGCTACCTGGTTGACCATAGTCTCTTCTGTGGCAGTGTGCCATACAGAGGCCACTCTTAGTCTGAACCTCTTGTGTCGCACCTGCTGTGTAGACGAGGAGCGTTCAGACGGCAGCTTCTCCGTCCTTCGCTCAGTGATTCTCGGTCCTCGTAGCCCCCAGATCTGTTGGTAATGAGTGTTTGGGAACATCCCTTTCGTCAGACTGAAATAATATTGATGGTTAATATAACCAACTGAAGCCAATCACTGCAAATGGAGAAATAAAAGGAAAATCGTTTAAAATAAAACGATAGCATATCAATACATAAATGGTGGGCACAAAGAAGTATTTAGATGTGGCATGGTTTTCAAACTGCCTGTAGGGGCTCAATAAAGACCCAAACACAGTCAAGTACGACGGCCCCTTAATTCACATGGTACCTGCATTCCCGAAAATTCAGTGTATTTTAAAACCATGCAGAGTGGGGTGCCTGGGTGGCTCAGTCGGTTGAGCTTCCGACTTCGGCTCAGGTCATGATCTCACGGTCTGTGAGTTCAAGCCCCGCGTTGGGCTCTGTGTTGACAGCTCAGAGCCTGGAGCCTGCTTCAGATTCTGTATCCCCTCTTTCTCTGACCCTCCCCCGTTCATGCTCTGTCTCTCTCTGTCTCAAAAATAAATAAAAACATTAAAAAAAAATAAAACCATGCAGAGATAGTGCTTTGTGTTTACATGTAGCCGTGAGGTTCCATGCTTTGCTAATTATAAGGGAAGAATTAGCTTCTCGCCTAAAAGAATGTCGGTTATGATGTTAGAATGTTGTGCAGGAGTGTCTTGAGTGTTGCAATGTCTTGACCCTGGCACCTTGGCTCCTGCCCATGACATGTCCCCACAAATTTTGGAAGTGTCCCTGAGGCTGGTACCAACCGTGCTAAGAACCACAGCCTCGGCTGTTCTGGGGGCCATCAGGATACTGGTGTCTCTGCATCAGAGGACACGTCGAGTCCCAGTCTATGCTGTAAGCTTTGTGTGAACAGGGCGCTGTCTGCTTTGTTCCTGTTCTGTCCCTAGGACCTGGCCCAAAGTGTGTCCTTGGAAAACATGTGGAAGGAAAGGATGGGTGGTGGCATGGATGGATGGACAGACAGATGGATGAAAAGAGATTTTTCTCTTTGTTCTGTCTTGTGGAGTAATCCTTTAGATATTTTTGTCTCTCTCTGTTGTGAGTTCGGAAGACTTTTAAATTTTATCCATGAGATAAGATCCAGTAGAAGTGTCTTCTACTCTGCCTCTTAAATAAGAGGTGCTTTAATCAAAATGTTTATTTTTTTAATGTTTATTATTTTTGAGCATTTATTTATTATTTATTATTTTATTATAATAAATACATATTTTTATATAAATATAAATAAACATTTTTATTATAATAAATAAATATTATTTATTATTATTTTGAGCTCACTCCGAGTGTGAGCAAGGGAGGGGCAGAGAGAGGGAGACATAGAATCTGAAGCAGAGTCCAGGCTCCGAGCTGTCAGCACAGAGCCTAATGCGGGGCTTGAACTCACAAATCATGAGATCATGACCTGAGCTGAAGTCTGATGCTTAACCAAATGAGCCACCCAGGCGCCCCAAAATGTCTACTTTTATCTGAGTGCCTTCTCTGCCATCACCTGTCTGAGCTTTTATTCTGTTAAACTCAAGAAGTAGATCATTTTCAGAACGTAAATCTACTTACGGTTTTTCTCCTTGCATTCTAGCATGGGAAGAGTTGGCCTGCTATGAAGAAAACACACGAGATTTTCTTTTCCCTGAGCCCAAGCTGACACCTTCGCTCCCTGGCATGTACAGGCAGGTGCTCATGAAGACATTTGCAGGTTTTCCAGTAAGTGATTCATGCCCCGCTGGACTTCTGCTGGGAGAGATTCTTGCGACCTGGACATTTTATTTCCGATAGGGGATGCTCTTGGGCAGATCACTTCCATCTGAGTTAGTTCCCTTGTTCTGTCTAGCAGCCCCGTTTAGATGCCCCATTCAAAATACCAATTATACTGGTCTGAGAGGTGGGGATCTTACCTAGCCAGGTAAATCACTGCCATCGTCACACTGTCACATACTTATAAGGATGCTTTTTCCACCTTCTCTGAATGCAGACTAACTGAAAGATTTGATACTGGTTTGTTTTTTATTAAATGTTTTATTTATTTTTGAGAGCGTTAGAGAGACAGTGCAAGCAGGCGAGGGGCAGAGAGAGAGGGAGACACAGAATCCGAAGCAGGCTCCAGGCTCCGAGCTGTCAGCACAGGGCCCAACACGGGGCTCGAACTCACAGACGATGAGATCACGACCTGGGCCGAAGTCGGATGCTTAACTGACTCAGCCACCCAGGTGCCCCTGTACCAGTTTATTTAATTGTAACTATTGTTTTAGTAGTAATAATGAAAGCAAAATACGGTCGTAATAGTAATAATGCCACCTCTCATTTATTTTGAGCTTTCGGTTCTTCATAAGATACATTATTTTCCTCAGAGTTCTCATGTCATCCAAGGCAGCTATCACAGTCTCCACTTAACGGAAGGGAAAGAGACAGAGGTTCACAGTGATATTATTGAAGGATCTTGAAAGACACAGCAGTGATTCAGATGACAGTCTGTTTTGGGGGCATTGCCTGAACCCAAATTCAAAATATTCATTTTGATGATATCTGTGATAGTTTCTAACCTCACAGCAACTTGGATGGTTTTCTCAACATTTCTGTTGCCTGGATGGCCTCTCTTGTAAGGGTCGCACCTTTATGAATTATAAAAAGCATATTTAATACTCAACTTTTCTGTTACTTGCCCATGAATCTCTGTTACTATCACTTAATAAAATGTCATTGCCTCCCATTTTGTTGAGAGTACTGTGTAGAATATACAACATGCAGGACCCTTACTTCTGTGATGTTTATGACGACAGAACTTCTAGTTCTAATACTTCAAATGGCAAACTTTCATCAAAAGTTGTCCTCCTCAGAATTGCTAATGTCCATAACTCTAAACCCTCCATAATCTTTGAGGGTTTGGTGAATATCACTGACGCCATTTTTTTCCGCCTCCGAGATACTCTTTGTATATCACCTATATCCATCGTACTCATGAGAATGTTTGCCTTTATCATATGGAGTTATTGGCATATTTCTCTTCAGGAGCTAAAAGGATCAAAACTGGCGAGAATCACGTGAAGGATATTCCTTATATTAACTTCGGTTTGCCTGAGTTTTCTATCACAGAAAAGCCATCCACAAACACTGAGCTGGTATCCAGCTGAGTATTGAGACGAGAAACACACGTCTTATGTTTTCTCAAGTGTTGTCTCTGTTTAACTTTATGGGCATAAATAGGAAGAAGAACATATAGGAAGTTGTGTTTATAGTTTTTTGTAAATGCAGAGAAAGGGCTTTAAAACCGCAGGGAAAGATCGACAGGCATTAGAGGTAAAGTGTCAGTGAAGTTAATGAAACTATGTTTTAAACAATTTGTAAAAAGATAGCAGAGCTCAATTTCTCTCAAATGTTCTATAAAGCAACATAAAACCAGCTGCCACAGTTTTAATGGTAGCAGACATTCAGTGCCCGCTCGCTAGATGCCAGGTACTGGGCTGAGTTTCTTACAGGTTATCTCGTGCAGTCCTCCTTGACCCTGGAAGGTGGCTATCAGTTTTTTACTCATTTTACTGATGGGTAAGGTGGCACAGGGAGTTTAAGAAGGTGCTCAAAGAGAGGCACCTGGGTGCTCAGTCAGTTAAGTGTCTGACTCTCGGTTTTGGCTCAGGTCCAGATCTCACAGTTTCATGAGATCGAGCCCCACATCAGGCTCTGTGCTGACGGTACACAGCCTACTTGGGATTCTCTCTGTCTCTCTGCCCCACCCCCCCACACTCACGCTGTCTATGTCTCTCTCAAAATGAATAAACTTTTAAAATATTGAAAAAAAAAAAAAAGAATGGGCTTGAAGACACAGGGCTGATGAATGATGGGGCATGCTTGTCTGTCAGACTTCAAAGTCTGGAATCTTGGTCACTGTGAGACGCTAATTCTCTCGTGTTTATTTCAGCCCATTGTCCACTTTCTCTACATTCATATCATAGAACTTGAGTGTGTACATGTGTGGGTCAGGCAAATCATTCACTTGTTTTCTCTAAGTTGTTAATTCATTAAGAAGTAGACTTATTTCCTTCACGAAAATGTGACTTTTCCTTTGTATTTCTGTATTTCGTTTTATTTCACTTGATACCTTAACCGCTGTTTCTCCCCCCTTTTCCTGCTAAGGTTAAGAATTTTTTTTTTAATTTAATTATTTTTGAGGGGGAGAGGGGCAGTGGAAGAGGGAGAGAGAGAATCCCAAGTAGAGAGCGCAGAGCCCAATTCGGGGCTCAAAGTCATAAACTGGGAGATCATGACCTGAGCTGAAATTAAAGAGTCAGACACTTAACTGACTGAGCCACCCAGGTGCCCCAAGAATTTTTAAAAAAAAAATTTTTTTTTTCAACATTTATTTATTTTGGGGACAGAGAGAGACAGAGCATGAACGGGCGAGGGGCAGAGAGAGAGGGAGACACAGAATCGGAAACAGGCTCCAGGCTCTGAGCCATCAGCCCAGAGCCCGACGCGGGGCTCGAACTCATAGACCGCGAGATCGTGACCTGGCTGAAGTCGGACGCTTAATCGACTGCGCCACCCAGGCGCCCCAAGAATTTTTTTTTTAATATAATTTGTTTTCTTGTTAGGTGAAGACTGTAAAGTAAGCAGAAGGAATATTATTATTTCTTCATTGTTAACTTTTAGTTAATAATTTCATTTTTTCTTTAGGGCCATGATTCTAGAAAAGTCGTACTGTTAAATCCATTTCTTGACCTAACCATCATTGCCCTCATCCTGTTGCTAAGGAAATTGGACAAGACAGACCCTGTAAATTTCAGCTCTAAACTTTTACACTAAAATCAGTGCTCCTGTGAACAAGAAAATACGTTCTTCCTTATTATCTGTCAGTCACTGTCAGGCGTCGAGGTTATATGAGGCGAACAGGAATGTGTTACGGGGTGTGGATTCCTTGCTGGTAGGGCACCTCCCTCCTCCTCTCTAGGCAAAGTGTAACAGTGGTTTGAAGTCCTGCTAGGCAGCCACACGTGCAAAGTGTGGACTCGGACTGTCTGGGTCCAGTCCCGGCTATGTCACTCATTACTGTGACTTTGGGTAAATTGCTTTCTCTCTGTTTACCTTAGGTTCCCAGCTGTAAAATGGACTGATAATAGTACTTCCCCTATAGGGTTATTGCGAGGGTTGGATATATGTACAGCGTTTAGCATGCTATCTGGCATATAGTTAGGTTCACGGTAAACGTGACCTGTTGTGGTTTATTAAATTGTCATTCAAATGATGATGCTGCCTCCTTGTGAGGCCATGAAAAACTGCACGAGTCTGTGGCCCACGTGGGGACGTGTTCAGGCTCAGACGGCTGGGCCATGGGGGACCTGAGGTCTGGCACACACGAGGTCTCATGATTCTAACCATCAGCGCTGTGGACCTTGGAGCTTCCCCCAGTCTCCTCTCCGGTGGGCAGTCTCATAGCTGGAGGTGAGGCTGAGCAGGTCACGTCATTGTATGCTGTTTGCCAGATGTCTCCACCCCCCACCCCCACCCTTCCCCGCCCCCCCCCCCCCCCGGATTTTCTAACTTGGCAGCAATTGGGCTCATGTGTTTGTAAGCCCAGAAATCTTGAGTCTCTGGCCCAAGCCTACCGCTTGTATGGGCATACCACATTCTAGAGGCAAAAAAAAGAAAAAAGAAAAAAAGGAGCTGAGGATCTAGGCTGTGCCTATAAGGACATGTTCTGTGGACAAGATGAACGCACAAAAATGAACGTGCATAGGAGTGAATAAATGCCCAGGAAACAAGCTGACTCCTGGCTCCACCAATCCCCAGCTGCGTCACAGTGGACAGACTTAACCTCTCCAAGCTCGTTGGATAAAATGGGGATAGGACTGTGTCCTACCCAGGTGGTGGGAGGGTTAAATGAGATCGCGTGAAAGTCCCTCACTGTAAAGATACAGTACTTGTCGGTATCCTCTCCCCCTGGGGCTTCAGCTGATGCAGGTCCTTCTTACTTCGTCCTATAATGAGAATGAGCTTTCACAGCCTGGAGGAGTGAGGGGGAGGGCGGGCTTTGAGAGGCCACTGGGGCTTGGACAGGAGATGAAGAAAGGGAAGGCACACCCCGGACAAGGAACACCTGGCCAGGTGATGGTGTCTGGGGGAGGGAAGAGCAGAGGGTCCTGCTGGGCAGGGGAGGGGGGAAGGGAGCGATGGCTGCAGGTGAGTCCATGAGGTCAGTCGGAGATCCTGTGACTCGATCAGATCCAGTTCTGTTCTCGTTTTGCCATCTAGAAGCCACGGGACCTTGGGAAAACTGCTTTCTGTCTCTCTAAAGCCTCAGTCTTTTTTAGAAAGATAATGGTATTTTTATTTTATTTATTTACCAATTAAAAGCGTTTATTTTTAAGTAATCCCTACACCCGACATGGGGCTCAAACTCGCAACCCCAACGTCAAAAGTCGCACGCTCCATTGGCTGAGCCAGCCAGGTGCCCAGATAATTGTATTTTTTAAATGACCGTGCGGTAAATTGATTTTTCTGATACACGGTTACACGAATGTTAACACATGTATAGATTTGTGAAACCACCACCGTGATCAGGATGTGGAGCTCTCCCATCAACCCCCAAATCTCCTCCCTTTATCCCTTTATAGGTGCAACCTCTCCCTTACCCCTCACCACTGGTCTGCTCTCCATCACTGTAGTTCTGTCTTTTTCAGAAGGTCACGTAAAGGGAATTATATGGTCTGCACCCTTTTGAGATTGGCTCCTTTCACTTAGAAAAATGCCTTGGACAGTCACCCATGTGATTGTGTGCACCAGCACTTTGTTCCTTGTTATTACTGAGTGTGTGTGTGTCTGTGTATTATTCCGTATGGCACCGATCCCCAGAAAAGTGTCAATGACACGAATTGGGGAGTTTGGAAATAGATCTAATGAGCATAAATATTTGGTATAAGGTACGAAGCACGTTTTTCAAAGCAAATAGGCAAGGAAGGAGAACCTCTATCTATCCCAGATAATCCTAGATAATCTCACTCAATTCTTTGGTTCAGTGTTTTAATTTTTAAATGTTTATTTATTTTTGAGAGAGACAGAGACAGAGTGCGAGCAGGGGGAGGGGCAGAGAGAGAGGGAGACACAGAATCCGAAGAGGCTCCAGGCTCTGGGCTGTCAGCACAGAGCCCGGCACAGGGCTCGAACTCACGGACCGTGAGATCATGACCTGAGCTGAGATCATATGTTTAGCCAACTGAGCCACCCAGGTGCCCCATATGTATATATTTTAGGCGATACGTGTGGGTTATGCCAACCACACCTACAAAAGGGTAATTAGGTTCTTACAGGCTTTCAAGTTAGAATGGGATGGGCGAAGAATCTGTTTCCAGTAATTTATTTGCTTCCTTTATGCTATTTCATTTTTAGGGCATTGCTCCCAAAATAGAGTTTTCCACACGGACAGCCATCAGAGAACGCGTGTTCCTGCATAGAAACAGGTTTCTTGTAAGTAGAGTCAAGAAGCCAGTGGTAGATCTGTCAGGAATTTTCTCCACAGAATGTTCTCAGCTCAAACTCAGTTGCCAAGTTTAGATGCAACTGGATGAGTAGAAACCTGGAGACTCCTGGCTGGGTTTGAGTTTCTGTATTCGGACTGTTCAGCCTGCCCCATTAGACTGCGTCTGACATGGGTTCCTTCTGGTCTGTGGTGGAGCGGACAGAAAAGCGATACAAAAGCCAAAGTCACAAGTTTGACAGAAGTAGGCTGGTTAGCTTATTTGCTGTTGTTTCATGGCTTTTGCTCTTGAGCTTGCGAATATGAGGGTTCCTTCCCTCTTGGCTGAGGCTGCTGCTCCGAGTTGTATTTGGGGCCGTCTCTGGTGATCGGGAAGGGTCTCGGGCGTTCTTGTTCAGCCCTGATTTCCCGTCATCCTGAGTACTTGTGGTGTTTCTTTTACCTTGTGGCTTATAATTTGAACCGTTAAAATCCTTTCTAGAACAATATGGAGCCTGGGTGAACGTCGTTGGTAAAGCTTCTTCAGGTGCTTTGCTTGTCGTCCCAGATCTTGCCTGGTGTCCCGGAAAATCCTTGAAAATGTAGGCTGTGGGTTAAGGGGGTACTGAATGAAAAGGGTCACTAATCTGTGCAAATCCATCAATCCTGTGGGCATCATAACTCATATCATGGGAGGCCAATGATTAATTTAAGGAAGGCATCAGCTGCTTTTTAGGTTTTCCTTATTTAAAAAAAAAAGCATTTGGGGCGCCTGGGTGGCGCAGTCTGTTAAGCGTCCGACTTCAGCCAGGTCACAATCTCGCCGTCCGTGAGTTCGAGCCCCGCGTCGGGCTCTGGGCTGATGGCTCGGAGCCTGGAGCCTGTTTCCGATTCTGTGTCTCCCTCTCTCTCTGCCCCTCCCCCGTTCATGCTCTGTCTCTCTCTGTCCCAAAAATAAATAAACGTTGAAAAAAAAAATTAAATAAATAAAATAAAATAAAATAAAATAAAGCATTTGTTTAGTTTGAAAGAGGGAGGGGGCAGAAAGGGAGAGAGAGAGAATCCCAAGTCAGCTCTGTGCTGTCAGCGCAAAGCCCCATGCGGGGCTGGAACTCACGAACCATGAGATCATGGCCTGAGCCGAAATCAAGAGTCAGATACTTTACCAACTGAGCCACCCAGGCGCCCCAGTATTTCCTTACTTACCTGCTATTTTTTCCAGGCTGATATGGGTGCATGGTGATTTTTCAGTTTATCTTTCTTTTCCACTCCATCATATTAATCTTGCTTTCATCTCCTAATATAGGTCTTCCTTTAAGTGTTAACTTTTTATTTTTTTAATTTTTTTAATGTTTATTTTTGAGAGAGAGAGAGAGAGACAGAGCACGAGCAGGGGAAGGGCAGAGAGAGGGAGACACAGAATCCGAAGCAGGCTCCAGGCTCTGAGGTGTCAGCCCAGAGCCTGACTCGGGGCTTGAACTCACAGACCACGAGGTCATGACCTGAGCCAAAGTCGGCCGCTTAACCAACTGAGCCACCCAGGGGCCCCAAGTGTTAACTTTTTAAAGTAACAGATTTATTGTTTTTTCTTATGGCAAAAGTATTCATTTTAGAAAATTAGAAAATACAGATAAGCAAAAAGGACAAAATAAAAATTGCCTGTCATTCTTATTATCTAGAGATGAGCATGACTCATTTTTTTTGAGCCTGTTCTTCTGTATACACATACCCACACCCACACCCACATAATTTTAACGTTAAAAGATTGCATATCACTTTGCACCTTTCCCTCTTCACCTAACATACCCTGGGCATGTTTCTCACGTCCTTAAGTATTCTTAACACCAGGCAGATTTTCACGGCTTCATTGCAGTCCACCATATGGAAGCACCATAATTTGGTCATTTTCCTGTTGTTGGGCACTTCACTGATACAGTAGTCAGAGTTCAGTCAGGAAAACAGACCGCACATGTTATTTTAGTAAACAGATTTAATCTTTTATTTTTTTGAAGTTTATTTATATTTTGAGAGAGAGAGCACACGAGAGAGAGCACATGCGCCTGTGTGGGTGGGGGAGGGGCAGAGGGAGAGAGAGAATCCCAAGCAGGCTCCACGCTTTCAGCAAAGGGCCCAACCTGGGGCTTGAACTACTGAACCGTGAGATCAAGATCAGAGCTGACATCGAGAGTCAGACGCTCCACCCACTGACACACCCAGCCGCCCCAAAAGATTTAATGTTTTAAAGTAAAGCCAAACGGGTTGAAGGACTTAAGGTAAAAGGGACACGGCACTGACACCGCTCACCGCTGGTGACCCGGGAGCTTGGAGGAAGGGTCCTGTGGGGCAAGTCCCAGAGTTCTGAGCGGGGCCCTCTGGCCAGCTGGTGCTGGAAGGTGTGAGTGGGGCACAGGAGGCTAGCTCTGCGGTTATGGGAGGAACACTATAAGCCCGGTACCTCTGTCACTCGGAAGGTGAAGAGTGGTTGCTGGGGTGGCATTGACAGCCGTAGATGGCAGCCCTGGGAGCCGGGCCTGGCCTCCCTTCCCGGCTTGCAGCCGCTCCCCAGCGCCCTCCAGCGGTGGGGCCTGCCCGAGCGGCTCGACAAGCGGCCGGTTTGCCCCAGCATCGCCCGGCTGAGCTGAGCGTTGGAGCAAGGGGGGTTCCCAGCAGAGAGGAAATTGCTTACTCACCAGTATAGCTGACCTCCCAGGTTTGGAACGGTCATGAGAATGTTTGTAACTATACACATTGCCGCAGTTATTTCCTTATAACGAATTCCTTGACGTGAAATTGCCGGGGTGGGGTGTGTGCCAGGTTCCATTTCTCTCTCTTTGTCTCTGTCTCTGTCAATCATCCATCTTCTTTTTTAAAGAAGTTGTTTATTTATTTATTTATTTTGAGAGTGGGGGGCAGGGCAGCGCAGAGAGAGAGAGCGTCCCAAGCAGGCTCCGTGCTGTTGGCACAGAGCCCGACTTCAGGGCTCGAACCCACAAACCGCAAGATCATGACCGGAGCCAAAATCTACAGTCAAACGCTCAGCCGACTGAGCCACTCAGGTGCCCCCCAACTTTCTCCTAATACAAATAAATGTCGCTGTTACTGGTGGAAAGATATTACCCTAGCGAGTTATAAATACTAGTGATGTTAAGCTGAACTGAAGAAAAGCTAAGTAGAGAGAACACCCTTTCTAAGTTCATGGTTTGCAAATCTGAGGTGTTCACTCTTCTACAGAGTTCGATTAAATACGGATATATTCTGATTGAACTTTCTTTTTTCTCCATTTTCATTTTCGAAAACGTTTCTTCTTGGTTTCAGGAAGAAAGAGAGAAGTCAAGAAGGCCTTTATCTACATCAGATGGGCCCAGATCCCCCTTAAATAACGTGAGGATGAGGCCAAAGGACAGTAAGGTCGAAAGCACGCAATCCTGGGCCCCTTCGCCCTGCTCCCCCAGGTGCTTCGTTCAGGACCAGCCCACTCCACCGAGCTTTGGAAATAATTTCAGAATCTCCGGGGAAAGCAAACCTCCATTTGTAGTTAGACACGTGAGCCTAAAATTATTTTTCAGAGTTTGGAAGGGTGACGGTGCGAATGAGGCCGGAATACGGGAAGGTCAGGCCATGAAGACGAATGGGCAATATTAAAATAAAGAGGGAATTCAAGCTGAATAGTAACTATGATTAAATGATGTTCACTTCCTGGAGTCATTGTCAGGAAAGCCATACGAAGCTGTCTCGTGCACAGGACTTGCTCACTGAATGTCAGTCATCCCTATTTTTAATTTTTGGAAATTATTAATAGAAGGTGATGTCTGCATGTGACAACCTGCCATTATCCAGAAGAATCAGCCAACTGACAGGGGTGGGAGATGCATAACGAAGGCTGACATGTGCTCTGTCCCCATCGCAAACTGAAGCTTCATCAGTTTTAAAGAAAACGGCTTGAGTTTTTAAAATTAGGTTGTTTTTACTTTAAAGAGCAGGAAAAACTATGTCTGAGTTAGAAGCAATGACGTGCCATACTCAAGGCCCTTAATTAAAGCTTCCTTAGGTTTAGCCCTCAGGAAGTAACGGGGAAGTTTAATCGCAGCAGCCCACATCGCCTCCTTACGTTTTTTTTGACTACTATAAAAATAACAGAGGGGCGCCTGGGTGGCTCAGTTGGTTGAGTATCTGACTTCGGCTCAGGTCATGATCTCATGATTCATGGGTTCGAGCCCCGCATCGGGCTCTGTGCTGACAGCTCGGAGCTTGTAGCCTGCTTTGGATTCTTTCTCTCAAAAATAAACATTAAAAAAAAAATTTTTTTTTAAGTAATGGAAAATATAGAGAAATTGAAAAAAGATTACCTATAGGCTCACCAATGTAATCTAAATAAACATTTTCTTTAATGGATTTTCTTTCACTTTTTAAATATTCATAAGGCTTTATTTTTTCCACAAACTTATAATTATACTGTATATATAGATTGGTTTCTCAATATATATGGTTAATATTACATTAAAAGCATTTCCTATATTAGTTCATATTCTTTATTCCACATTCTAGTTAATGATTTATTCTCCAGGAGTCCTTATAACTCCCAGTAGTTAACTGTGGATATTACTGTCAAATTGATAACTTGGCTTAAAGAAGTCACTGGTGGTGATGTTTGTGCATGAGATATAAGAAAGGGCACCTGGGTGGCTCAGTTGGTTGAGCTTCTGAATCTTGATTTTGGCTCACGTCATGATCCCAGGGATGTGGGATTGAGCCTTATGTCAAGCCTGCTTGGGATTCTCTCTGTCTCTCTCTCCCCCTCTGCCCCACTCCCCTGCTCGAGTGTGCTCTCTCTCTCTCTCAAAAAAAAAAAAAAAAAAAAAAAGATACGAAGCATGGTCAGCCCCGTGCTATTGATTGAGGTGACTGTGTGCAGAGTGGGTTTATAGGTTTAACAGAGATGTTATTTGGCCAGAGACCATAGAGCAGCTGGGGTTACCTCATGGTAACCTGGGTAAAATGGTAAAAACCTAGCGACCAATCTTTAAATATTGTTGAACTGAGTTTATTGGACGCTCTGCTTCATTGCATTTCATTTTTGTGAAATACAACTGTAGTCGAGTCCCTTTGGGCTACATAATCTTAAAATCTTGATAGATTTCATAGGGAATAAAACCTGCTTGGTGTTTATTTTATTTAACAAATTCTTGTACAGCCTCTGCTATGTACCAAGCTCTTTTCTAAATGCTTTATACGTAGTAACTCTCATGGAGCCAGATTTCTTGATGGCATGTGACGTTTCTTTAAGCAGAAGCATTAAAATTTAGAGGACTTAATGTCGTGAAGACAGTAAATTCTAATCAATAAAATTCTGAAAGTAGAATGAAGAGTAACATTATAACCTGCCTTCTTGAAATTAAAAAAAAATGGCAGAAATAAACAAGATAAAAAAAAAATCCAGCGACTCTATGCCATAAGTATTCTGAAGTAGTTAGTTCCCTATTTCAAGTGTTTGGACCTGTTTACAGATTATGTTGCCCAGTCAGGATAATAAGGTCACCTTAATTAAAATAACGCAGCTGCCACTATTCTTTTTTTTTTTTTTTTTTTTTTTTAAGGATACAGGCACTCAGATTGGAAGGGAATGGGGAAGGCTGAAATGTCACCTTGTGATAATCCCCTGATTTCAGGGAGGACCCTACCTAGGCCAGCACTGCGTCCTGTTTAGGAACATGAAACTGTGCTGTTTTGAAAGATTTAGAAATAAACTTCACTTACTCGTTTCTGGGCTTGATCCTGAACCTGTGGTTGGAATATAATTTGTGTCCAACTTTATGCTAAGAGTTAGCTCATACCTTCCTGTTTAAGCCTCAGCGAAGGTAAGGACACACAGCTTCCTTTGTTGGGATAACATTTAACATACATGGAGATATGATTCAATTTGTTCCCAACCTTTTCTTCTTTTTTTAAAATTATTTAAAAAAAAATTTTAATGTGTGTTTATTTTTGAGAGAGAGGGAGAGACAGAGTGCGAGCAGGGAAGGGTCAGAGAAAGAGGGAGACACAGAATCTGAAACAGGCTCCAGGCTCCGAGCTGTCAGCCCAGACCCCGACGCAGGGCTCGAACTCACGGACCGCGAGATCGTGACCTGAGCCAAAGTCGGACGCTTAACCGACTGCGCCACCCAGGCACCCCCTGCCCAGCCTTCCCTTCTTACTTGCGTGGCCCGCAATTGAATGGGAGAAAGGCACTACAGGTAATGAGGAGAGGGTAACATGAGCTATGGTGGGTTCAAATCTTATTTCTTTCCTTTCTTTCAGGTGGACAGTGCGAAGCCTTTTGGTGACAATATTTCAGAGCTTCAGCCCCGGAAGTCTAGGACAAAACCTAAGTTTTCAAACTTACCTTTTCCAGGGAGAAGAGGTACTGGAGTTTCTTGTTATTCCTACAGATTCCCCAGTGGAATTACTGGGTTACTCCTACAGATTCCCCATCCTCCTTCTGAATCTTCCTTAATTCTTTTTTTTTTTATGTTTATTTATTTTGAGAGAGACAGCACGAGTTGGGGGGGATGGATGGGTAGAGAGAGAGAGAGAGAGAATCCCAAGCAGGTTCAGCACTGTCAGCACAGAACCCGACGTGGGGCTCGGACCCACGAACCATGAAATCGTGACCTGAGCCGAAACCAAGAGTCAGATGCTCAACTGACCGAGCCACCCAGGTGCTCCCTAAATCTTTCATTCTGAAGCATCCCACGTTTTTTGGGGGAAACTCTTTGGCCTAATTGTCAAGTGCCGTCCAGCTGTGGAGCTTGCAGGGAAGGCGTTCCCACGGAGCAGAGGCCAGGGAGAGCTGTCCCCTTCCTGGTCCCCCTCGCTGTCGAAGGAGAATGCTCCGAGTAGCACCGTCACGAGGTGGCTGGGCCGGAAGAGGGGCCAGCTTGTCCTGGTGGGACACCCTCAAAGGCACCCCACATAGCTAACAGAGGAGGCTCACCATTTCTCGAGGTGGGAAAGAGCCGGGGGTGTGGGAGGGGATTGGTGGAGATCAAAGCTTTGCTTTACAAGAGGCCAGGTCAGCAAAGAGGAGCGCCAGCTTGACCTGAAGCAGTTAGGTTAAGGCAGGGAGTCTCACGTGCAACTGTCAGGACCCTTCTGCATTCTTTAAAAAAATTTTTTTTATGTGTACTTATTTTTGAGAGAGAGATTGAGACAGAACATGAGCGGGGGTAGAGGTGGAGAGAGAGGGAGACCCAGAATCCGAAGCAGGCTCCAGGCTCCGAGCCGTCAACACAGAGCCCGACGGGAAGCTTGAACCCAGGAGACGTGAGATCATGAGCTGAAGTTGGACGCTTAACGGACTGAGCCGCCCAGGTGCCCCAGGACCCTTTTGCATTAAGGGGTTTTGAATTAAGTATTCTTAAATACTATTGAGGTCCCCAAAGAGCTTTTGTTTAAGTGGATGATACCTCTTAATAGTTAGCACATTAGAAATTGAAACTGAGAAATTTGTAATATACGGGAATTTTACAAGCACACGTTCCATTAGCCACGTAGAGTGGTGATGTCATGACACATCATGTAGCTTCTGGAAAATTCCCTCGTGCGAGAATGAGAGAAAGATAACTCGTATCTTAGTATTATTAGAATGGTTTTGACTTTGCAGATCTCCTGGAAGTTGTTGGTGAGCCCTGGGGAGGTCCCTGAACCTTATGTTGAGAGTCACTGAGTTAATGCATCCCTTGGTGGCATGTACCTTATGATGTGGCAGCTCCCAAGGTCACGGCAGTGAAGTGCATCCATTCCTGAACCTGATAAAAATTCTTAGGCTTGCAGTGCTGGCCTATTTTCTTGACTCCTGGTGGAACTGGACCGAGGCCAATCCTGACAGCACATTCCCTATTTTAGGCTTAAAGGCTTATGCTTTTAAGGGGCTACACAGATTCTTTTAGTAACTCAAACCAGTGTTCCTGGAACACGGTGACTGTTAGCAGCCGACCAAGGACAGAGTACGGGGTTTGAAGCAGAAAGTGCTTTATCACCTCTGACATTTAATTTAAGTCCTTTGGATTGAAAATCACCCACGTAGCCTATAAAAGCAGCACTGCCTTCCCTATTACCGTGAGATCAGGCAACGGCAAGTGTCCTTTCCTGGAGAGGACACGTTGGGCTTAATGCTGGCTCAGTTACGACAGGACTCTCATGCCTCACACCGGTCTCGGCCTCTCTGTCTTTTCTTAATCCTGGCAGGTGGAGAACTGAGGTTCCAGAGAAGTTACAGATTGTAGGGCACACCTACCTTTAGAGAAGACGTTCAGACCTCTGGGCTCTCAGATCCTTGGATTCCCTGTGGGTCCCAAGCCAGACCTTTGCTTAGGTCACCCGTCAGCTCATTCATCCCGGCCTAAGGCAGAATAAAGCAGCGGCTTCTCTAACTTGAATGTGCATTTGAATCACCTGGGGCTCTTGTTAAACTGTAGATTCTGATTCTGTAGGGCTGGGGTGGGGCCTGGGAGCCGTCTTTTCTTACAAGCTTCCCAGTAATAACAACGTGGCTGGTCCAGGGACTGCACTTTGAGAAGCAAGAGAACAGGGCAGGCCCCTTGTGAAAGGCAGTGATCCCAGCCAGTAGCAAGGGGTTTCTGTCAACAGGGCAGATTTGTGGCTATAGCCGTAAAGGGCCTTAGCATTGCCAGCTCCCGGCTCAGCTAGGAGTTGGGGAGAAGGGAACTTCTGGGACAAGGTAGTCACACACACCTGCATGCCGGGAAGTGGTGGCGATTACCAGTCTTTAAAAAGCCCGTTTCGTATCTTCCTTCTTACTGTCAGTGACAGAGGGACATCAGCAGTCCATAAAAAGCCCTTGTCACGGCCTAAGCCCCAAGCGCAGAGGGGGAAGTCACGGTGTCTTTGGCCTAGCCCTGCAAATACTCATTCCAAAAGCATTTTTTTTTTCTGACTTTGGAAGAATGCAGTTTAGTCTTGATTTTGCCTGTGTGTATTCATTACTTCACTTCCCAGTCATCCTTACCAGTCTCTGGCATGCGGTCTACTTACTTACTCATGATTGTTTAGGGTAATCCTAATGATTTACACTTTGCTGCATTATGTTTTCCCAAGCTCTTGTCTATTCATTGTCTCCATTTAACAATCGTGTCTACCTTGGACAAGCATGCTGGAGAGTTGTGCATAAATAGGATCTCCACATAAACCAAATACGAAGGGAATGGCAGACGCAGAGTATATGAATTTTATATGAGAGTCACACGGTTTTCTTTTAGGCTCTGGGCAATTGGGCGAATATGAGTTTTGTTTTCCAGGCTGCGTGAGGAATTTACTGCTTCACTGTAGACCCTCCTTTGCCCTTTCCACGTCCCTGTGTACTGTCATTAATAATACAACTTCACCGGACCTCAAAAGGACGGAAACACTCAGAGATAGGATTACTGTGACTCAAGGGACGCATAAAAGTTGACAGTGTAATTTACAAGGGAGCGCTTAGATTCTTTAATAATTCATTCACGTGTCATAGTTTTGTGCTGCTGCGGAGGAGACCTAACAGCAGTTTTAGGGGTTCCCGGTAAAAATGAATCACTGAAACACCTGTTCCTCTCTCTTCTAGCTTCTTCTTTTGACAGCTTTGCTGCTAACATAAAGGTAATTGTAGAAGTAGCATTTGTAAATGATTTATTTCCAGCTTCTTTTTTTTTTTCTTTATTATTTTTTTTTATTTATATATGAAATTTATTGTCAAATTGGTTTCCATACAACACCCAGTGCTCATCCCAAAAGGTGCCCTCCTCAATACCCATCACCCACCCTCTCCTCCCTCCCACCCCCCCATCAACCCTCAGTTTGCTCTCAGTTCTCAACAGTCTCTTATGCTTTGGCTCTCTCCCACTCTAACCTCTTTTTTTTTTTTTTTTTCCTTCCCCTCCCCCATGGGTTCCTGTCAAGTTTCTCAGGATCCACATAAGAGTGACCAGCTTCTAATGTCGGTTATTGTGCGTTCCCCAACGAGGGGTGGAAAGGCTATTTCTAGCAAGTGCTGCTTGTGGAATTGCTGTAGCTGCACTAGAGTTTAAGAGATGCCCAGGCGCCACTGTCCTCTTGCACTGGTCGCTCTGTTCCCCTCCTACAAGCTCTTTCCATTTGTGGAATGAATCACCAGGGTCGAACGCCCCAATACCTACTTTACCAGTTGATATTTTTATTGCTTTTTTTCCCCAATCAAATACTTTTTATGACACAAAGAGGTGGCAAGCCGCTTACTCTTGAAGTTTGGTTTGTCAAGGTGAAGGCTCACACTTGTACGTTACAACATGAAAATAGATGTAGGCAGAGGGATGGGATATACTGAGCTTTTGATGCCACGGCCCTTAAATATTTTATTTAAGAAATTGTATCTTTACCAAACCCGATAATCCCTTGTCCTCTCAAATCAAAGTTCGGAGCATGAGTTTATTTTGGCTTGTTCACATGTGCCAAACGTGCAGAATTTTCGTTTTCCTTCCCTTGACCTTGACTCCTCAGCATGTTGTTTCAGTACCGCCTACTCCTGCCGTTCTTTTACTGCAGGAGCTCCTTGGGGCAGGTACTCAATTAGCTTGCCCCCTTCCTCATCCCACCCACCCCCGGCTCTAATGAAGCAGACCAGAGCAAAATGACAGCTGAAGAATAATGCACATTGTCACTCAGGTTATCAAAGAGCCAGATGAACGCATTGTTTTAAGGAAAGAATCACCATCACCTTTAGATTCAAGTCAGTTTGGAAAACCGTCGCCCAGTTATGGTAACCAAGGGGACGCCGATTTCCACCGGGAAGCCTCATTTGCCACCTACCAGCCTTCCAGATCTCCTAGCCCTCTTCTGGATCAGCCCCTTCTCCGAGAAAGGTCAGCGGCCAGCACCCGTCTCTTCGTTTGAAGAGTGTGTTGTGGTCTAGTGGGAGTAAAGCCTGGTCACTTCACCAGTTGGCTTCCTGACGAGTGTTCAGCTGGTGATAGGAAAAAATCACCATTTCTTTTCAAATCTTCCCAGAAGGAAGGATTGAGCCTTTTCTCTTGCCTGTGGAAAGCATATCTCATGATTGTTGAAAATGGGACAGACAGCTAACTTGGCGTAGATACTATTTATCTATCCGTTTTTTCATCTTTCGTAAGTTTAAACCTTCAAGAATTTGATTTCTTTCTTTATTTTTTTTAAATAATTTTTAAAAAACGTTTATTTGTTTTTGAGAGAGAGTGAGAGACAAAGTGCAAGCTGGGGAGGGGCAGAGAGAGAGGGAGATGTCAAATCCGAAGCAGGCTCCAGGCTCCGAGCTGTCAGCACAGAGCCCACGGGATCTGTGGGGCTCGAACCCACGAACCGTGAAATTATGATCTGAGCCGAAGTCGGACGCCCAACTGAGCCACCCAGGCGCCCCAAGAGTTTGATTTCACCAGTAGAAAAGCACCCACTATACAAAGTTGGGAAATTCCAGAAAAACAGGGGTGAAAAAAAAAATCATCCATAGTTCTGCCACCCAAAGACAAGAATTACTAACATGTAGGTGTATTCTCTCTCTTTCTAGACATGTTTTCTTGGTTTATTTATATGATTGCCACAGATAATAAACCCCCCCACAATTGCATCTATCTGGTAAGCAGGACAAAATTGAGAGAAGAACCCATATTTTCCAAATTGTACTCTCTGGTAAGATGACCAGCCATCCAGTTGGCCTGGGACTTTTCTGACTTTGGCTCTTAAAGTCCTGCATTCCAGGAAACGCCTTACTCCCAGCAAACCATGACATGTGGTCACCTTAATGCTGGGAAGTGGTGAAGATTATATATATATATATATATATATATATATATATATTTTTTTTTTTTTTTTTTAGGATTTTTAATATTTATTTTTGAGACACAGAGATGTGGCACGAGTGGGAGAGGGGCAGAGAGAGAGGGAGACACAGAATCCAAAGCAGGCTCCAGGCTCCGAGCTGTCAGCACAGAGGCCGACGCGGGGCTTGAACCCAGGAACCATGAGATCATGACCTGAGCTGAAGTAGGACGCTCAGCTGATCGAGCCACCCAGGCGCCCCCTGAAGATAATATTTTTAAGACAGCTTTAAAAAAGGAATAATTGACATGATATTAGTCTCAGGTATACAACAAGCATCATGATTGGATATCTGTACAGACTACAAAATACTCACCACGGTAAATCCAGTATGCACCTGTTGCCATAGTTACAGATTTTTTTTTCTTGTGATGGGAATTCTGGATGTTTATTCTTGCAGCAACTTTTAAATCTGCAATATGGTAGTAACTCTAGTTGCCATGCTGTCCGTTACATCCCTAGGACTTATTTTATTATTATTTTTAATGTTTATTTTTTATTTTTGAGAGAGAGAGAGAGAGAGAGAGGAGGAGAGGGACACAGAGGGAGAGAAAGAGAATCCCAAGTAGGCACCATGCGGTCAGCACAGAGCCCGATGCAGGGATGACATCATGACCTGAGCTGAAGTTGGACACTTAACCGACTGAGCCACCCAGGCGCCTCTGGAAACACTAACACTGAAGACGTTTCTCCTGGTCTCTGAGAACTTGCAACTTAGCAGAGGATGTAAAAACAAACGTGTACCGAGAGCTTTCTACAAGGCAGGACTTTGAGAATAGTGTAGACCAAATGTTATCAGAGTATGAAGCAGGAAGAAGGAATGCTTCATGGAGCAGGTGGTGTTTCCCAGGTGGGCCTTGAGGGGAGGGGATTGAATTCTGATGGAGTTAATGGAGGGGAGGGATTGGAGGTGAGAAGCCACAGGGCTCTGGCACCTTCTAGAAGTTAGAGCAGCTTGAGGGAATAGTGGGTGCCAAGGCTGAGGGTCTGAGGGACTGTTGAAGCCAAGCTAAGGAGTTTAGGCTCTGTTGGAAGGCAGTGGGGAGCTTTTTCAATTTCATTCTCAGGAGTTAGGACATTTGACTGTAGGATGATGGCTCCGACTGCAGATCAGATTTTTATCCTCTACCTCTGACGAATCAGCAAGTTCTGTGTGCCCCAAATCACTCTAAATGGAGAACTTTGGAACTAATTAGATTATGAGTTTGTAGATAAGGCTATGATCAACTGTGACAAAGGACAGCACAGTCATGGAAAGGCCATCTGGCTTGCCCAGCACTGTCCAGTGTGTATCATACATTAATTAAAGAGAATGATTTCAACATATTGCTAAATTTCTTAGGAATTTTTAGAAAACAATGTGTGTTTTTTAAATTTTTTTTTTCAACGTTTATTTATTTTTGGGACAGAGAGAGACAGAGCATGAACGGGGGAGGGGCAGAGAGAGAGGGAGACACAGAATCGGAAGCAGGCTCCATGCTCTGAGCTGTCAGCGCAGAGCCCGACGTGGGCCTTGAACCCACGAACCGTGAGATCATGATTTGAGCCAAAGTCGGGTGCTTAGCCGGCCGAGCCACTCAGGCGTCCCCCTCCCCCATCCCAATGTCAGACATTAACCAAATAATGACAAAATGTCACTGGGTGAAGTGCTATGAATGACATTGAATGGACTCCAAGTGCACGTAGGAGGGGCGCCGGCTCCCTCTACAGGAGGGGCTCAGGGGGGACTTTGCTGAGAAATCAGTGATTGGACTGAGCTCTGAAGGGGAGTCGGGGTTAGCACGGAGTGGGGATCGGGGTGGGAGTGGCAGCATTCCAGGCCCTAGCGAGCAGTGCTGGTGGGTGCGGAAGGGAGAAAATGCCTCCTATGTGAGGAACCGAAAGGCACCCTAAGGTGTGTGGTGAAGTTTGGGTCTGCTCAGCCTAAAGTAGGTGAGATAAACAGTAAATTCCTGGGCCCAGTCGGTCAGGTTAAGCGTCTGACTCTTGATTTTGGCTCAGGTCATGCTCTCGTGGTTCTTGAGATCGAGCCCCGTGTTGGGCTCTGCACTGACAGTGGAGCGTACTTAGGATTCTCTCTCTCTCCCCCCCACCCCCCCGTCTCTGCCCCTCCCCCACTCACATGCATGCATGTATGCATGCCGTCTCTCTCAAAATAAATAAATAAACGTTAAAAAAAGTCCTTGTGGTGGAAAACAATTGGGATTACGTTTCGTGTTAAACATTGGCGGATTAAATTTTTCAACGTGAACTCAGGCTTTATTCTTTAGAGAGCTATCTGAAGCACGCAGCAAAGAAGAAGAGAATCCCTCACAGGCACCCACCCCCACACAGGCCATTCTCCACCCTGTGGTTTTTATTCGTCAGTGTGTGTCATATGCATCGGGGTTAATAAGGACACTGAAACCACACTATGTGTACAGGTTGCCTGTTACTGCTTTTTCTTGCCATCAGGCTGTAAATATCAGCCCACAGCGTTCTGTATTCTAGTATCCTTTTCAGCAGCTGCCTAACACTCTGACCTGTTTCATTTTCTGAGCAGATTCCACCTTTATTCTCAGTCCACTTGGAGGAAGATCCACGAGAGGGTGTACGGTCTTCTGACATCCCACAGAGCTCAGCAACACCTAAACAAGGTAGGGCTTCTGGGAACACCTAATCGCTGACAAAGTTCCACGGGAACTAGGACTTACAGTCTCTGAGGGGGGTGTATTGGTGGGGGGAAGATGGACATTAATCAGGCCACCGTAGGAATAAATGTACAGTTGTGACACTTACCAAGGAGGGTGCATGGGGTCCTGAGAGCATACAAAAGGGGGGTATTGCCGTGGTTGGGAATCAGGGTGGGTTTCCCTGAGGAAGAGACACAGGAGCTTCCATCTGACCCATGAGTGCAGCTACTTTGCAGTTCAGCATGCACGGGGCAGAGGTCCTGCATCGTGAGGGCGCACGGTCCTTTCAGGGACTGAGGGAGGACCTCTCACCGGTCCGGAGCACAGTTTCTAACCCATAGTTAGATATACCCAGTACTCTGTCTACTGCGGAGTGCAGCACGAGCTAAGGGACCTGTCGCCATTTCCAAGGAATTCCAATGAGAGGTTAACAGTGCCCCCCATGGATGGATTTAACGACACCATGTAGTAGTTGAAGCGGTCGTCTTGAGTTATATAAACACTGGCATGTTCTAGATTTATAGGATGACACTCATAAATGAACATTGGGGCACCTGGGTGGCTCACTCAGTTAAGCATCTGACCGGCTCAGGTCACGATCTTGCAGTTCATGGGTTCGAGCCCCGCATCGGGCTCTGTGCTGACAGCTCGGAGCCTGGAGCCTGCTTCGGATTCTGTGTCTCCCTCTCTAGCTGCCCCTCCCCCGTTCACGCTCGCTCTCTCTCTCTCTCTCTCTCTAAAATTAATAAAAGCATTAAAAAATACAAACAAATAAATATTGATTTTCATGGAGAGGGTTGTGAATTACTTTGCTTCTTCTCTGCAAAGTCATTGGCTTTGCTTTGTTAATTTCTAGTCTTTTTAAGGAAGGGAATCCTCTCAGAATGTAAAAAGAAGGAAAGGAAAGGAAAGGAAAGGAAAGGAGGAAAGGAGAGAGAAGAAAAAGAAGGAAAAAAGAAGAAAGTATCTGCATGTATTTACATATATAATAAACCCCATGTATGGGTCATGCATGGGTCATAGACCTCTTTTTGTTTGTTTGTTTGTTTGTTTGTTTTAAGTAGGCTTCATGCCCAGTGCGGGGGTTTGAACTCATGACCCTGAGATCAAGACCTGAGCTGAGATCGGGAGTCATTTGCTTAACTGTCTGAGTCACCTAGGTACCCTCCCCCCCCCCACCCCCCGGCCTCTTACATGCAGAAGCACACATCTGGGTATCTTTGATCTATATGACACTATGAGTAATGCAATTGCCAGGTTTGTTTTTGTTACAGGAATATACTATCTCTGAAACAAAGTATATCCTGGAAAGACCAAGTTACCCGCTGAAGAAATACCCAGTGCAGGAACAGAGATACTTTTAAGTGGCTGTCTTACGTAAGTGATCAGCTTAAGTGCTGTTTCCTATTTTGATTTGTTTAATTTCCTGTCAACATGAAATAACTAGAAAATGTGGTGGACAGGAGACGGGGTGGAGACCTATGAGCCACATTCTTCTTCCACGCGGTAGAACCACAGCACGCGTGTCTGTGGTCGGCTAGCCCGGTCTCTGTCTCTGTCTCTCTTTCTCTCCCCTCCTTCCCACCCTCTTATTTAATGGGACCTCTTTGAGCTCTAGGCTCTCTTTCCTGCTGTCGGGTATTTACACATGCTGCCCTCCATCTAGAATACTGCTTCCAGACCCTGCTTGGGTCACTTCTTTTTTTTTTTTTTTAATTTTTTTTTTCAACATTTATTTATTTTTGGGACAGAGAGAGACAGAGCATGAACGGGGGAGGGGCAGAGAGAGAGGGAGACACAGAATCGGAAACAGGCTCCAGGCTCCGAGCCATCAGCCCAGAGCCCGACGCGGGGCTCGAACTCACAGACCGCGAGATGGTGACCCGGCTGAAGTCGGACGCTTAACCGACTGCGCCACCCAGTCGCCCCTGCTTGGGTCACTTCTATTTATCCTTTGGTCTCGTGACCAAAGCGCTCTGCACTTTTCTTGGGAAAAGTATCCTTGTATCAGATCACCTTCCACTGTGGTTGGTGCTCGGTAGGTATCCCTTTATGAGTGAGTGTCGAACGAGGGGATGAGGCCAACTCTAGGATTCAGGTGTTATGGTAAGTAGTTGGCCATATGATGCAGTGAATTCTATTCTTTTCCTCTCCTGCCTGGGCCTAGAATTAGAATAGCTCTTCCTTACAAAGTGCTTCCTGAGTGCCAGAAACTGGCCCGAACACTTTGCATGCATTAGATGAGTGAATGTCGGGGCGCCTGGGTGGCGCAGTCGGTTGAGCGTCTGACTTCAGCTCAGGTCACGATCTCGCGGTCCGAGAGTTCGAGCCCCGCGTCGGGCTCTGGGCTGACGGCTCGGAGCCTGGAGCCTGCTTCCGATTCTGTGTCTCCCTCTCTCTCTGCCCCTCCCCCGTTCATGCTCTGTCTCTCTCTGTCTCAAAAATAAATAAAGGTTAAAAAAAAATTAAAAAAAAAGATGAGTGAATGTCTAATTCTCATAACAACCCTATGAAGTAGGTTCTGTCATTAGTCCCATTTCATAGATAGAGAAACTGAGGCGCAGGGAGGTTAGGTGCTGTGCTCAAGGTCACATGGCCAGTGGATGGCCAGGAATACGAACATTCTGTGGCCTCCCGAAACCTAGATTGTGTGATAGGGGAGCCCTGGGGAGAAAGAGCAGAGCCCTTGGGAATCTGAGCAAAGTCTGTGTTCAGTGCCCTTGAACATCTCCCTCGGGGATCCTGTGTTGTTGTATTAGGTAGTCCCTAGCATCCTAGCAACATCAAAATGATTATGAGTCTTTTTAAACCATAAAGGAGTGTGAGATGATATGCTAGGTTTTCACAGTAGTTGGTCTCCAGAAAATCTGGCTCGAGGGTCACTCATGCTTCAGGGCACAAGTTGCTTGCCCACCCCCTCCCCCCCACCTCCAGGGCTGGCCAGGACTCGCTGCCTTTAGCACTGAGGTGTGGGGAGGACAGCTCAGTAATAGCCCATTCTCCAAGCTTCTACCCCAGAACGTTCTGCTTGGTAGATTAAAGGATAGATGCTGGGCCACTGAATCTCCAGTTGCCAAAATAGTCATCTCGGCATTTATTAGGCAGTTATACGGAACAGGGCCCACATAATTACCACCATGGGAACCGTGCCCACGTAATTACTGAATGCCAAGTTGTGTTGGCATCAAGTTCCAGAACCAGCTGATACGTGGATGCCGATGGGAGGGGAGAGAGTGAAGGGAAGAAAAAAAATGAGTAACTTCTTAGAAAGTGGGTTTCCTTTGGGGCATCTGGCTGGCCCAGTCCAGTAGAGCATGTGACTCTTGATCTCAGGGTCATGAGTTTGAGCCTCATGTCAGGGATGAGTTTACTTTAAAAAAAAAAGAAAGATGGGCATCTGGGTGGGTCAATCAGTTGAGCGTCCGACTTTGGCTCAGGTCATGATCTCATTGTCCATGAGTTCGAGCCCTGCATTGGGCTCTGTGCTGACAGCTCGGAGCCCGGAGCCTGTTTCAGATTCTGTGCCTCCCGCTCTGTCTGCCCCTCCCCCACTCGTGCTCTGTCTCTGTCTCTGTCAAAAATAAATAAACATTTAAAAAAATGTAAAAAAGAAAGAAAGAAAATAGGTTTCCTTCCAAACACAAGTTCCCACCCACTGGTTTGGAATAGTCTCGTAGGCCTTCTCTGGAAGTGCTCCATACCACTCCCCGATCACCCCCCACTGTTTGGGTCATGCATTCCTGGGGAGGCAGGAGTCCTGGAGGGCTGTGTCCGTGAAAGTGTTCATGCGTGCAAAGAAACACGGGTGACCTTGGGTCGTCTTAAGCAAACAGGGCACTTATTACAAGGATGCTGAGTATCTCAGTGAATCTAGGGAGGATCCAAACAAGCAAGATCAGGCCACTAAAATGGGACGGCTAGAGTCCCCCCTCTGGGTCAGGAAGACAGTCCCAGAGAGGAGCATCCACAGAAGACCCCCTGGGCTTCCACTACCTGTCCCCAACCTTGATTTTCTCAAGGACCGTCTCCCGCTTGGAGACTCCAATTCTTGTCGCTTGCCTTTGCCACTTCGGCTCTCTCGCTGTTGACCAGCTCTCCCCCTCCTGGGTGCCTAGTGATCTCAAGACTGGGGGAAATGAAACAGTCGACTCTTACCACAAAAGGACCAGCAATTCTTGACCCAGAAACAGTGAATCCAGTTGTCTGACAAGGGAACGGGCGGAAGAATTGGGTAGTGGGGGTGGGAATACATCTCTTTCTCCTTATTCTGGATGATTTGGGACTTGGCACTTTTGGTATAAAACAGATTATCCCTTGTATACTTCAAAATGGTTAAAATTTTACAAACCATGAACATAAAATTTTGTGTTATGTGAATTTTGCCACCAAAAAAAAAAAAAAAAAAAATCCCGTATACCACTCCCCTCCCCCTAGTTCTCTTGGAATGCGTGGTTGTCTCTGTGTTTCGGTCCTTACCAAGTGTGTGAGCTGACTGTGTGTGTCTGGCAGGTGCTCACTGAGACTCCGCTTTCAAGGGCGAGCTTCCAGGGCTGTCCTCTGCGACGCCTGGTCTCTCAGGCAGACTGAGGCCCGCTGCCCTCTGCTCCCAAACGAACCTCCACTTAACACCTCATTCCCGCAGCCACGTATTATAGTTGGTTTCCTTGTGAAAACCCTCCGAGGAAGGGGACAGAGACGGACCAAACGGCACCAGCTCCGGCCCACTGAGTTCCAGCACCATGGCCGGTCTGGAGCAGGGGCCAGTCCGCTAGGAATGCTTCCAGCCAGAGGGCGGGCAGGGAACCCAGGCCTCGTGTCCTCAGACACAGATGAGAACCGTAGCACAAAAACGTCTCTGAAATTAAAGAATAGGGGGGCGTCTGGGTGGCTCAGTAGGTTAAGCATCCGACTCTTGATTTCGGCTCAGGTCACGATCTCACAGTTCATGAGCTCGAGCCTCATGTCTGGCTCTGTGCTGACAGCCTGCTTGGGATTCTCTCTCTCCCTCTGTCTCTGCCTCCCCCCTATGTGCCCTCTCTCCTCTCTCAAAAATAGACATTAAGAAATATTGAAGTGGGGCGCCTGGGTGGCTCAGTCGGTTAAGCATCCGGCTTCAGCTCAGGTCACGATCTTGCGGTCCGTGGGTTCATGCCCCACGTCGGACTCTGGGCTGATGGCTCAGAGCCTGGAGCCTGCTTCCGATTCTGTGTCTCCTTCTTTCTCTGCCCCTCCCCCCTTCATGCTCTGTCTCTCTCTATCTCAAAAATAAATAAACGTTAAAAAATTTTTTAAAAAAAAATAAAAATTAAAGAGTAGCAAAATGGAAAAAAAAAATCAAGAAAGAAACCAAAAAAGGACAAAAGTTAATTAAAATGCTGATTTTTGGTCTGTCTCAGCTCATTAGGCCTCCAGGTCCTAAGACAGTGGTTGGTACAGCTCCCAGCCTCACTCTGTCTACACTGGGCGGGCAGGAGTCTGTTTACTCCCTGTCATAGGGGCTTGTCCTCAAACTGATGTGACGCAGAGAAGTCAGGTAACCTGCCCAAGGTCACACAGCTGCTCGGTCAGGTTTCCCTAACGTCGCCTCCCCCTGCACTGGGAATGTAGAGGGGGCTCAGACACCAGGGGATCTTCGGGAAGAGCTACTTGCCTAGATTAGGATTGAGCGAAATCACCATCTCCTCCTTGGCGCTGATCCTTTGCCTTTTTTCTCAGGACCACGTGCCGTGCGCGACGTTGCCGGTTTCACAGGGGAAACTGGAGGAGCATCGCGAAGAACTCACTCATCGAGTCAACTGACACATCCTTTGAGAAATGAACAAGTTTTTGTTATGTGCGTGGAATCACCAGTGTCTCACCCCCTTTACACCAAACCCTGTACTCACTCAGTCTTCTGTACCTAGGTCAGAGTCGTTGATTAAAGTGTTTCCAGTGTGGGGCTCGTATTTCCTTGTCAAGCTGGAAACTTTTTGATACACTTTGTGTGTGCGTGTGTTTTGAGCTTGAACGAGAAAGTAGCGGAGGGTGGGTGGCCGGTGCTTTTATTGGGAGGGCACCTGCAGAAATCGAACAGCTCAGGACACCTTTGTAGGTGCTCCTCATTTGTGGCAGCTATTGTGTTCTTGAACAGTTTTTTGGTTTTTTTTTTTTTAATTTTTTTAATGTTTATTTTTGAGACAGAGAGAGACAGAGCATGAACGAGGGAGGGTCAGAGAGAGAGGCAGACACAGAATCTGAAGCAGGCTCCAGGCTCTGAGCTGTCAGCACAGAGCCCGACGTGGGGCTCGAACTCACAGACCGCGAGATAATGACCTGAGCTGAAGTCGGACGCTTAACCAACTGAGTCACCCAGGCGCCCCAGTTTTTTTTTTTCAAGTTTATTTATTTTGGAAGAGAGAGAGAGAATCCCAAGCAGGCTCTGTACCAACAGCACAGAGCCCCATGCGGGGCTCGAACTCGCAAACTATGAGATCATGTCCTGAGCCAAAACCAAGAGTTGAACGCTTACCAAACTGAGCCACTCAGGTGCCCCTCTTGAAAAGTTTTCAGTTTTTCCTTCCTTCCCCCTCCTTCTGCCCCTCCCTCCCCCTTCCCCTGCCCTCTCTCTCTCCTTCCCTCCTTCCATCCTCCTCTTCTCAGCTTACATTTTACTTGAACTAGAGGAAGCTGCTGTTTACAGGAATAACCCCATAAATCTTCCAGGGAAAAATGGTCAACTTGATTTTCTCTTTTTGGTAAACCTGGGTTTTGTTGTGTGTTTAAAAAAATTTTTTTTTCAATGTTTGTTCATTTTTGAGAGACAGAGTGCAAGTGGGGGTGGGGCAGAGAGAGAGGGAGACACAGAATCCGAAGCGGGCTCCAGGCTCCGAGCCGTCAGCACAGAGCCTGACACGGGGCTGGAACCCACGAGCCTTGAGATCATGACCTGAGCCGAAATTGGATGCTTAAGCAACTGACCCACACAGGCACCCCTGTTTGTTTGTTTGTTAGTTAATGTTAGGCTTGATTTACATGAAGTCCACTGAAAACTTGGGAAGAGGGGGCTTTATGTCAGGAGAATTCAGATCTGGCTCTAAAGGGTCACTTTCTAGGACACATTTGTAAGAGGAGGCTAATTTCTTTGGATTATAGTTTAAACCATCCTCTCACCTTACCTCCCTCCTCTGTTTCCAGCAGTGCTTAATAAATTTCTATGAGGAATAAAATCTTCCTCAAATATTTCTCTGAAAGAGCTACTTTAAGTAAATACATTCTGCAAATATGACCGCCAAAACCACATTTAAAATCAGCTAGAAGGGCGCCCTGATGAAATGCTCACACAGTGTTAAGGAGCACCAAGAGAACACGGGCGGGATGATGTGGGACTGGAGGCTCATTTGTCTTCATGGGGACAAGCCCAGAGCAGAGGGGCCTGGAAGTGGGAACCTCGGTCTTTCCTTCACATTATAACCTGGCATTTTCCTCTACCATACCCTAAATCTCTTAGTTTTTACAGGATTCGGCAAGAGTCAAATTTCCTTTTCTTATTATGACCACAGGAATTGGTTTGTGTTAGGTAACTTAGGAAAACAGCATTAATAATTAAAGGGAAAAAAGGCCTACAGAAACAATAAAACAAAGCTCATTTATTCTCGACTTTCAGCCAAGTAAAGGTGTATATGTTACAACAAGCATTTCATTGACCTTTGGAAAACAGCCAACGTACTTAAAATTACACCTGCTTCTGTATTCTGGGTGTGTCTGAGACTTAGAGCTGTCAGTTTGTTACTTTGACGTCTCAGGAGTCATCAAAAATAAAAAGATACTGTGTTACACGAAGGCTGTGGCAGAATCCTCAGAAAAAGATCACTTACGAAGTGTGTCAGCAGCTAGAGGAAATCAGTTCTAGAGAATTGGTATCTCATGGCGGTTCCCTCTCAGACACACACGGTGACATTCAGCGTTCAGTTTCTCTGAAATGGTTTGAGCATGACTCCTTGATTCCATTTAGGGACAAGATTTTTCAGGGCGCCTGGGTGGCTCAGTCGGTTAAGTGTCCAACTTCGGCTCAGGTCATGATCTTGCAGTCCGTGAGTTTGAGCCCCGCATCGGGCTCTGTGCTGATGGCTCAGAGCCCGGAGCCTGCCTCAGCTTCTGGGTCTCCCTCTCTCTCTGCCCCTTCCCTGGTTGCATTCTGTCTGTCTCTCTCTCCGTCTCTCAAAAATAAAATAAACATTAAAAAAAAAAAAACAAACTTCATTGCCCATTCTTAAAGTTTGTTTTGTTTTGTTTTCAGATCAATCTTTTTTCTCAGCTAATTCTATTGTTTAAATTATTCTTATTTTACCTTTCTATTTCTCAAGGAATTATTTCCATTTTGAGGAATCCTATTGGGGCCAGGATTGCACTTGAGGTGTTTTGCTTTTGGAGGATGTAATAATGTGAATAGTTTTGTGACGGATTGAGATTTCTTTGGGAAGACCTACGTCATCAAACATGATACAGATTCCCACCTGTCTTGCTTCAAGTTCTTATTCCTATTTTGACTTTCACAAAAAGTCAAAGCCTGGACCGTAGTTTACAAGCAGGTTTGATGGGGTCTGGGTTTGCAGAGGCTCCTGGGAAAATCTCCTTGGGGGAGCCTGGGCCACCCCACGCAAAAGCCACCGCACAAAGAGGTATTTCCCTAAGGTCACCTGGCTGACCCAAAGTTAGCTGAAACGTACAGACCCTGCATTATAAATACTATTTTTTTATTAAAAAAAAATTTTTTTAATGTTTATTCATTTTTGAGACAGAGAGAGACAGAGCATGAATGCGGGATGGTCAGAGAGAGGGAGACACAGAATCTGAAATAGGCTCCAGGCTCCGAGCTGTCAGCACAGAGCCCAACGCGGGCCCGAACTCATGGACTGCGAGATCATGACCTGAGCCGAAGTCGGCTGCCTAACCAACTGAGCCACCCAGGCGCCCCTATAAATACTATTTTAAAGATGAGAGTGTACATGGTGTGTTTGACATAGAAGGTGGTTGCTTTCATACGGGGAACCGCAGAGGTTTGATGAGTTATGCATGCAGGTTGACCTGGCCCGAGTGCTGCTCATAATGGCCGTGACTCTACTCAATTATTCCATTAACAGAGCCCTCTGGCCTCCGTGCGGGCAGCCCGAGGAAAGCGCTCTGGCCCATGTGTGACCGATGAATCTTCTAGCACAGCTGTGTTTCTCTGAATAGATGACCCAACCCAGCATTCCCTGGGGACTTGCAGTTCTTGGCGAGGACCCCCTCCTCTCTTCCCAGGTCCCGGGAACCCTGCCGACAGAGGAGGTGTGCCCCCTGTTCACCCGCAGCCCCCCCCCCCCGCCCCTTGGGTCTGCTCCCGTCGGCCCCTCTGCACTGGGCCCAGGGGCAGCTGTAGTTTTTTTGCTCATCAGAGGAAAGAGTGCTTACTTTCGCCCTCAGAGCTAGGAAATTTGGCAAAAGCAAGGTCGGGCCGAGGACAAGAACTTTTCCTCGGTGCAGATGGGTCATTTCCCGGATGGATAGGTTGTCGAAGCTTCTTCGGCAGAGTGAGGAGCTCCCAGACTGAAATTTTCCCTTCGGGATTCTGTGCCTTTTACAGTGATCCTCCGGCACCCCTGTAAGTACATGTTTTCCTTGTCTTTATTTTAAAAGCACCCTGTAGCCCATGATATAATATCCATTTTCCTCAGGTACCTGTAAGAATCACCCGCTGGGCCTCATTTGCTCTCTGGGGCTCTGTGGTGACCACAGCTTTGCCTCCACCAAGACGGACAATAAGCATCATGTACACCGGGCTGTGCTTTGTGTGGGAGGGTCACATGGGGTGGGGGTGGGGGGAATCTTCATTTCGACACCAGAACCCCAAGGTGACAGCACTGAGGGCCGCCGTGTCCGCCCCAGATGTGGCGAAGGGGATCTGGGGGCTGTGAGACCGCCCAGTCATCAGGATTAGGACTTTAAAGGGAAGAGGGAGAAGAGAGGCCTCTAGCAAGGTGGAGAGTTTGCTCTGAGGTCGGAGAGTTGAAGTACACAGGTTGTCTTGGCCCTTTGGCTTGTGAGTAGTCAGGATGCTTCTGAACCAGCCAGGCTGTGCTACCTCGTGTCCTGCTTAGGTTGGACGGGTGTGGAGGGTGATTTAGTCTAGCTCCTTCCACAGAGGAGGCCAGGACAAGGGCAACAGTTTTTTAAAAAAAATTTTTTTTTTCATGTTTTTATTTATTTTTGAGACAGAGAGTGACAGAGCATGAGCAGGGGAGGGGCAGAGAGAGAGGGAGACACAGAATCGGAAACGGGCTCCAGGCTCTGAGCTGTCAGCGGGGAGCCGGATGGAGGCTCAAACTCATGAACTGTGAGATCATGACCTGAGCGGAAGTCAGACGCTCAACCGACTGAGCCACCCAGGTGGCCCATTTTTTTTAAAGTTTTAAAAAATTTATGTTAGAGAGCAAGCAAGCAGGGTAGGGGCAGAGAGAGAGAGGGGAACAGAGGATCTGAAGTAGGCTCTCTGAGAACAGCAGACAGCCGGATGTGGGGCTCGAACTCAAAAACTTCAAGATCATGATCTGAGGAGAAGTTGGATGCTTAACCAGCTGAGCCACCCAGGTGCCACAAGGGCAATAGTCACGTAAAGACCTTACCATCTAACTTTGGAATACTTGGGATTCCAGTAAAGAGATATAATAAAGCTTTTTTTCCTTCTTCCTGCCTGCTCTCTTTTTTCTCTCTCTCTCTCTCTTTTTTTAAATTTTTTCTTGAGAGAGAAAATGTGAGCAGGGGAGGGGCGGAGAGAGAGGAGACAGAAAATCCGAAGCAAGTTCTGCGCTGTCTGCACGGAGCCCTACGTGGGGCTGGAACTCACAAACTGTGAGATCATGACCTGAGCTGAAATCAACAGTCCGGCCTACCCGACCGGTGTCTTGGCGTTTTTTCATTCATTCGCTTAGTGCCTCAGTTTGCCCGTGCTAGATCAAGT